TTCATTTATCTTTGCAGGCATTCACTTCCTGCTTCAAACAAATTCAAATAACAAATTCAAATTTAGGTCTAAAAGAATGTGGATTGTGGCCACAATATGTCGTTATCTAAATTGTCCAAATGGTCCAAGGAAAATCTGATGCTTATTTGATTGATTTCTTTTACTACCCAGACAGATTATGATTCATTGGGAAAATGTTCTCTGTGGGTTTTAGAGTATTTTCAAGCAATGGTCATGCTGAAGAGGCCTCCGGGTCTGAAGACATGTTTCTAAATGATACATAATAAGCCTTGTCCCTGGGCCAGTTTTCATTTTGAAATCTGAAAGCTCTATCCACTCCAGGTCTAAGCATAGCAAAGAACCTCAGCTGGTTTCACCCAAATCTATTCCAGACCCTCAAACTTTGTTATAAAACAATACATTTAGCCTTTGCTCCACTCAAAAGTGTGCTTTTTTTTTTCTATGAAATATTGTGGGTTTTGTAGAAAAACTTGACCAAGGCATTGGGTTCATATCATGTTTATGATAAATATGTCACATATAATATATTCAACATGATTTTGTTTTATTTTATTTTTTGCTATGATGAACTAACCCAGGAGCCTCAACCCCTGCCCCCTCAGCAAAATTTGTGGTTTCCTTTTCTTGAGAAATCTCTGGGACAACACAACACCTTAAAACCTTGTCAAGTCATTGTGCAGAGCATTTGAAACAAACCAAAGCCCCTGTAGTGCTTGAATGTTGGACTCTGGTATTTTGAGGCTTGTTTATAATATAATAGGTACAAATTCCTGTAAACCACTCCAATGCATGCTTGAATGGAAATGACCTTATCCAAACTATAGGCAGAATCCTTTTCCAACAGAGGTTCAAGTGACTCAGTCTTCTCCAGTGAAGCCATAAGGGCCTGAGAGGTCATCTCCACTCCCCCCCCAAAAAAAAAAAGGATAAACCAGGGAAGAGAAGGTCTTATGACATGCCAAACTTCTGGAGAGTAGTGGTGGTCAGGAATGATTGCCCTCAACTCAAGACTTTATAGATACGGTGGAAAATAGAAAGGCCTGTGGTCCATTTTCAGAATATAGCTGTAATTGGATCCAATTGTACCTATTTTAATTATAGCTCTTCCCTTTGCCTGCCCCGGTTTTAAAATTACCCAATCACTTGGATTATACCTCCCAAGTTCCTGCAATCAGGGCAAAGGACAGCACTGCATTAGGGAATGAGCAGGTGGACTGCCTGCCCAGGTGCATTTGCTAGTAGCCAGGGTCTGGTAGCACACTCTTCTGTTGGCAGGAGTAAAAGTTTGCCTTGTCCACCCACTTTTGAGTGTGTGTTTGATTTCTTGTGGGGCTAAATGGAGGAAAATGGAAGCACATTTTCTGTGGAAACACACTCAGGATTATTCTTGCAGATGTAAAACAAGAATAAGGGGAATTAGAATAGAAGGAAATGGAAGAATAATTTGTGGATTCTAGAGGAGCTGTTACCCACTTTTAAGGTTTTGACAGCATCACAATAGCTGAGGATTTTGACAGCTCTAGGTATGGCTGATGCTTGAGGTAATATTCAGGACCTCTTAACACCACATCCAGTTCATTGCAGTTGTGGCATGTTCCACCCTGAGGGCTAAGGAGAATTCCAGTTCCTGCGTAGAACTATGTCAGCCCAGGTTCTGTAGAATCTGTTGATTTTCTGGAGTACTGCTTCCATTCTGTTACAGCTTTCCACACTGCGCATCCTTCAGCATTTATCCCCCTTGGCATATAGTTTAATTTCCTTTTCTTTTCATTTTTTCTCTTAGAAATGTGGGTCTAAAGCCATCTCTTACTGAATACTGTCAGCAGATGAATATATTGAAAGGCGATGAATACAAGGGAACTTGGCCGTCAGCCAGTCGGTATAGAAAAAGGATGAGAATTATTTTGCTGTGAACCTAAAGCTGCACTAAAAAATGAAGTCTATTGAAAAGTAAAACAAAAGGAAAAAAGTAAAATAAAAGAATGGGAATTCAAAATGCAAAAAAAAAATTAGGACTGTACGGGATCTTCCAGTCCCTGTAGTTTTAATGCATTTGAAATGTATGGGACCAAGATCTGCCTCCTGAAGCTCTCTGCAATGACTCCACATACCTGCTGTGCAAATGTCCTGGGGGTAGATGAGTACAGTCACCTCTGGCAGTGGGCGTGGACAAGTACAGAAACACAGCAGCATGGTAGCTCTCCCAACACAAACACAGGCCACCGTTGGAGAGACAGCAAGCGCCACAGCCTCCTGAGAAGGGGACTCCTTTGCTCTGGCCTCTGTGTCTTTTCTCCTCCTGTTTCATAGAAACCTAGGAATGAGATGTGGTAGCAAAGATTCAAACCCAGAACCTCCAGATTTCCTTTTTGTCAATCATTGTCCATTTTATTTAAAGCCCATGCCACTTGGGCAGAGGATCCAACCCTGGTCCAACATAAACTTCCAAACAGGTATTTTCCCCCAAAATCAGGTGACAAAAGAAAATTTGCCACAATTCTGTTCAGCTTGATCAAAATTATATTTTTTTCTAAAGGGGATGGTCAAACACTCATTGTCTCTGTCCATGGACAGGCAAATGTGAATGTTACATTGGGTGATAGATATATTCAGTTGTATATATTCGATGTTGCTGATAAGTGGAACTGAGTTGATGTTGCCACCCTCACTCCAGACTGCCTGACTCCCAAACATGGTAAGATGATCAAAAATTAGGGGATGGTTAGGGGTGTGGTTCCACAGTAGAGCACTGGTTTGTCCTGCTCAAGGTCCTGGGTTTGATCCACAGCATCCCCAAAATAAATAAATAAATAAAGTTTAGGGGAAATAAACAGCACTGAGTGATTTGTCTTGTTTTAGAATGGTGCATGGAATTTTTAAGTAGAGAAACATGCAAAAATAATTAATTTGATATGAAATTCTTGGAATTTTTCTTAGTAAGATACCCTGGCCAAAGCAGATGTTTGTTCTTTAATACCACAAAGGTAGTAACATTGAATTCTGCAAAGCTACCATTTTCCAATCTTTCTAACCTACTCCAAGGAATTTTGAAAGACTGTGTGTTCCTCCTTGCACATTTTTAAGATGACATTTAAAATTTTTTCCTTCAATAATTCAAATAGCTACAAAAGGTAGAGTTTTCTGCATAATATAAATATTAAAATTTTATTTAAAATGTTTTATTACTCTTTAAAGTGTATTATTAGATTATAAATACAAAAGTGTTTGGTACCATTTATCATACATTTAAAAATGCATAATATTCTCTTCTTTACCTGTTAGAAATTTAATCTTTATATTGCATTTCCAATCCTCTTTGATACCAACTTTTCTTTGAAGAAAATGCATTTATATGATTTAAAATTTTTATTGATTACCTATCTTCTTTGCCACAGAGATGCATATAAAAATGAAAATTATAAAAATTATTTCTTCTGGGTTTGGGTATCATTTTTTAATGTTGGCCCACATTTTGATAAAAATTAAATTTTGATTAAAATAATCATCAACTATAAACACTAAACTTTTGTTGGAAATGTGTCTCTAATGAAATGATTGGCGTGTCATGGTGTCTTCACTAAAGGATGGATTTCTGATGCCAATATTTTTAATGACCCTTTTCTTTGGAATGTCCACTATGGCAGACAAGCTCTCAGATGGCCCCCAATTTTTTCCACATCCTGGGATCTGTGTGTTTGCAGGTGAAAACTATGACTTGCTTCTCGTTAGCAGGATAGAGAAAGGACCCTGGGATGTCACTTTTGTGGTTATGATAGAACTTCCATCTTCCTAGCAGACTTTCTTGACTCTCTCCCTTGCTGGCTTTGATGGGGTAAGGCACTCTGTGCAGAAGGTCAAATGACAGGAACTCAGGGCAGCCTTCTGTCTAACAACCTACAAGGAGCTGAGCCCTCCTCAAACCCTGTGAGCTTGGAAGTGGATCCTTTCTCAGCTGAGCTTTGGATGACTCCTGGATGCAGCTTCAGAAGAGACCCTAAAGTAGAGGACTCAGCTAGGCCATGCTTGTACTCCTGAGAGGACACACTCAAGATTGGCACAGTAGGAATAGTTGGGAGGGGAAGGCAAGAATCTCTTCTTATAAAGTAAGAGAAGGGTATTTGAAAATGAGAGGTAGACACCAGAGCTGGCTTTTTTTCTACCAAGCGTGTTCTCCTGCAAATATTTTACATGCAAAGATTGAGAATCCAGAAATTGATCCCCTTCAATGTAGAGTGCCACATACCATTTGGGAAGTTTCAGAATCCCCAAAGTTTGGTGTAAATTATTATAACTATTTGAGCCTTAATTGATTAATTAATTAATTCAGGCATTTTTACTCCCCTGTTGGGGAGGATCAGTCAGACTCAGTGACGAAGAGGCATAAGTGAGGCACTCCTCAGTGCTCCAAGCCCTGCCTCCAAGGGTCCACCCCTCCATACCATCTAGCCAAACCGCTCCAATTGGGAGGGACGTACCAAACACTATGTGTGACACACTAACCCAGGAGTCAGAAAGGAGGGTGTAGGTGACCATGACGGGCACCAAGATAAAGAGGACAAGAATGTGCTCTTCATGCTGGGAAGATTCTCAGTCACCTAGACCATGGCCGCCCCACACTCCCCCGTCTCCTAGTATCTGAAAGGTAGGCTGCGTACTGCTTGCCTCGGAACTTGAGCTCACCGTGGCGTAAATTGGTTTTCTATTTTCCTAATGTCAGTATTGTCTTCCTTCATAGATTCCAACTTCAGGACAGGGCTCATGTCTTAAATGTATAATTAATTTATTAATTAAGGCTCAAATAGTTATAAAATAATAATTTAAATAACTTTTAGTAACATAGTCATTTATATTTGTTATAGAAAATGAGAAGAAGCCAAAGAGAGAGAAAATGAAGAATAAATCATCTAAAATTCTTCTATCCATACATAATTATTGTTAGCATTTTTTAAAAAAATATTTTTTTAGTTGTTGATGGACCTTTATTTTTTTGCTTATTTATATGTGGTGCTGGAAATCAAGCCCAGAGCCTCACACATACAAAGCAAGCACTTTACCACTGAGCTACATCTCCAGCCCCAAATTGTTAGTACTTTGATGTCCTTTCTTAGAGGATTAAATAGTCACATTGTATATGCCCTTACTATGGTTTGAACATTTATATATTAGTAACTTAATTCCCAATGCAACAATGTTGAGAAGTGGAAGTTCCAAGAGGAGATAAGATCATGAAGATTCTGTCTTCATGAATGGATTGATGTTATTATTATCAGAGTGAGTTTATTATAAAAGTGAGATCAGCTTCCTCTTGCTCTCTTGAGCTCTCTTGCCCTTCTTCCTTCCACTACAGGATGATGCAGCATGAAGGCATTCTCAAAAGTTTCGGGCCTCTCAAATTTGAACTTCCCAGCCTCTAGAACTGTAAAAAAATAAATATCTATTTTTAAAATAAATTACCTGGCCTCAGGTATTCTGTTATAGTAACACAAAACAGACGAAGACAACTTACATGGAAAATACTTTATATCACAGCAGTGGTAGCTGCAGAACTCCTCTTTACCCAGACTCCATTCTCACCTCCTATCAGGCTCCTTACCTTTCCTCTCTCATGGTTTCTATGGAGAAAGATCCTAGGCACAAATCCTGGTGAGTCTGCTGTACCCTCCCTTTTCTTGCTGTTCTTTCCAGCTGTTACTGACATCAAAAATGAGCAGATACTTAGGTTTGAACCTGGACATGAATACCTGGGCATGTTTAGAGGCAAGAAAAACATTTTGTTTAAATTGGAGACTTCTCTTTTGAATGCCTTGGGATCTCTGGTATGATGCTGCAGGAGTTACAACCCACAGATTGATTTCTCTTTTTCTAAACCATTTGTGGACCCTCTGTCCACACTGGTGCCAAGACTTTCTCCCTCATTGCTTTCTTGCTTGGCTCTTTGATGTCTGTCATCCCTAGAGAAGTCAGGCATTACTGATTAAACAATCTATGCAGGTGTTACTCTAGGAAGTGACACTCTAGGAAGGCCTTGGTCATGGCCAGGCAGGGCTCAGACTCTTTGGAATCTGCAGGGAGTGGCTCAAAAACAATCTGGAAGGGCCCCAAGCTCTGGACTTAGAGGAATGCTTCTTGTCTTCATCCTTGCAGAGGTATCCTCTCTCAATTTGTACAAAACAGTCGTCAAATCAGCCAGGATTGCTTGTCCAACTCATTCTTCAGTCCCAGTGATCTATCTCATAGAAGGTGAATCCAGTCTAAGAAAGCAAGGTATATGACAGGGAAAGGGCAGCAAATGAATGAGCACTCTTTGAATGTGCAGCCCTCATAGTCTAAATGACTTTGGGGGTCTTGGCTGGAAGCATCTTAGAGACACTTCTCAGAGGCAACACACTCAAAGAAGGGAGTTAGAGACATGTTGTTAAGGACATTGTCTCCATAGATATTATCGTTGTAACAGCGGGAACTTTGGACACATCTTGATCTCACTGAAATGCAGGAGAGCAGTTGTCAATAGAGCAAAAGCAAGGGAGGTTGTTATAGTGGGCTCATATAGACACAGATATTTATGGAGCACCTACTATGTGAAATGCGTTGATTAGGCACTATAGGAGAGAAAAGAGCTTAATAAGACCTTCTGTGCCCATCATAATATGAGTCCTGCTATATCAGAGAGATACTTTCAGATTTGGGGATACAGTTATACATTTCACTCAGGAAGTATAAGTTTCCTAGATTCTGTTCTTCCTGCCTAAGGCCAGGGCTCCACCTGTCTGTCTAATTGCTGAGAGACTGCCCACACTGGCTCTGCTATTCTCTGAGCAACACCCTACTTTCACAAGAACCACCCCAAGGCTTCTTGTCTCAGCAGTTTGGGCCCCTGGTCCTTCCTGTTTTATTTTGACCCTGTGTGTTAAAATGGGGCCCTGAATTTAAAAGATTTAGTTGTGATTTATATGTGCAATTCATGTTCCTAGTATGCCCACATCCAAATTTCTTAATTTCCTGAGCCTCTCTGCTATAGAATGAATGATTGTGTTCCTCCCCAAATTCACACATTGAAACCCAGCCCCCAGTGTGGTGATTGAAAGTGGGACTTTTGGGAGGTAATTCAATCATGAGAATAGACTCCCCCATGAATGGGATCAACAACACCCTTATAAAAAGGATCCAAGGGAAACCACTTAGCACATCAACCATGTGAGGATACAACAAAAAGACACCATCGATGAATCAGGAAGAGGGCCTTTACCAGCACCCGGCCACGCTGCATGCTGACTTCAGACTTTCAGACTCCAAAACAGTAAGGAATGAACTTCTGTTGTTTATAAGCCCCCAGTCCATGGTACTTGGTTATAGAAGCTTGAGCTGGCTGAAACACGATTCTTCAATTTGTAAATGAGGTCTGTACCAGTTAGCTTGCCAGGAGGGTTAAATGAGGAGGACTCACCAGCAATGTATCCAGTACATCCAAATATCCCAAGAAGAGCAATTTTCTTCCCTTTTCCCCAGTGTCTAATTTCCCTGGATAGAAAAGGCAGCTTCTCCCTTCTCACTCAGAGGCTTTGTAATATGGGAGGAATTCCTTATCTGATGATGCCTTAACCAGCAGTCATCATTTTAAAATTTTGGATCTCAACTTCATTTTCCCCCTGGCAGGGAGATTTATGTCATATCATATTTCCTCTTGCAGCCACAGCAGCTTTTATTATGTCATCAATTATGCATGGCTGGATGTCTGTGTTCTCGGGCTTTTGCAGCTGAGCATTTGACTATCTGGAAGAGAAGACCAGTGTACTCAGTCTGCAGCATATGGGGACTGGGACACATGCCGATTGCTTGGCTGGACCTGTCAATGATAAAGATTTCCCATTCTGGTTCAAAACTGCCAGCAAATCCAGCCAGCACATGGAGCTCAGTTTGACCCAGGGGGGTGGGGGGGAAGGCATCCTGCCTCTGTAAGTTTTGGTGCATCAAGGAAGCAGACCCATCCCTGGAAGAGCGATACAAAAGGCAACATCAACAGTTTGATGGCTGAACATACAGATGGCAGCTGCCTCCTCCTCTAGCCATGCTTGTGGGACAGAGATGCAAGAAAGTTATAGATTCCACTTATGGACTCAATAGTGTTGATCATACCAAAGGCTAAATTGCACCCAAAATTGAGGTTGTTGCTTTCCAGAAATTATCAGTAAAACCAGACCAATCTTTTGGTTCTGGAGAAGAAAATCTCTCTCTTCCTGGAAATCCATGGCTCAAACAGAGTCCACATGTGAGGGCTGGGGTTGTGGCTCAGCAGTAGAGTGCTCGTCTAGCTTGTCTAGGCCTCTAGTGAGGCCCTGGGTTCAATCCTCAGCACCACATAAAAATAAATAAATAAAATAAAGGCATTGTGTCTAACTTCAACTAAAAAAAAATATTTAAAAAAAAAAAAACAGAGTCCACATGTGCCCATGCCTGAATATGCCCATGCCTGATTCAAGGGCTTCAGTTTTCAGCATCAGTTCACATGGCAGGTTGGTGGCAGTGGGGACTGAAGTGGGGTAGTGATGGAGCAAGGACATCCAGGGTCCATTTGCTCGTGTGAGTTCAAGACTTTTGAAAGCATTCATTAATTTTGTTATGAATGGAGGTGATCTCCCCAAGAAGGTATTTTGGGGAGTATTCTGGAACACATTCTTGCCTTGCGGTGGGGGTGTGTTAAGATAGTCTAGGATGCATCTAATCTAACATATGCCAGGGACAACTGACTCCCATGGATGCCAGTCCACAGGTGTTCTGGGACTGAAATTCTTAGGAGTGGTTTTAACCAAGTTGCTCCTTCCTTCCCTGCTGGGCACAAATTAGTTGGCAAAACAAGGCACATGGGGAAAGTTTCAAAGCAATGTGTGCTGAGCAATGCCAAAGATGCCACAAGGCCATGTACAGCACATGCCAGCAGGAAGCAGGCGGCAGCTCCTTTGGTGTTTAGGGGAGAGAAGGGCTTCTGTGACATCAATGGTCAGTGAGGCCACTGGGGTTCAAGAGCAGTTTGTAGAGCCACGTTAGGGCCCCAGGCCAACCCAGAGAGGCAGATCTATAGAAAGACAGATCAGCTTCTGAGAAAACATTTAAAGGAAGCAAGTATTAGAAAAATTTCTCTAGTTAGAACCCCATGCATCTGAGCCCAAAGAGGAGAAGCCCTAGCTACCTGAGAAAGCTCCAACTTCCTCCCAAAGAATGGGTCCATTCTTCTTTATGAGGTCATCTGTTCTCTGAGGCATTGCCCAGTAGATTGCACCATAGAGTCCCTTCACGGGTGGATAAGAGGCAAAATCAGGCTGCTAACATGAACATCACAGTCAGGCTTGCAGTGGAGACCAAGTGACAAAACGTATAGCCTGTGGCAGATGTGAGGGACATTCCTAGGTGCTAGTCCAAGGTCCAGAGTTTATGAACTGACTGCATTTCTGAGCGCCTGGCAGTGGCTCCTCATCAACCCACTCCAGCAGCCTTCCTTATTCTCTGCCCAGTGCCAGATATCAGCATAGCAGGCCAGCCCTGACAGCTCACGGGGGACTGCCAATGAAGCTGAGTCCATGAAAATATGTTAGATGTTGGTTAAGTTTACAGAAGCATTCGTGAGAGGTGGTCAAAGTCATGTGCCATGACATGGTAAAATATGTTCCCCGGAGAAATTTCCTTAAAAGGCATGAGTGTAGAATAGCTATTAGTGGTAGATGTAAAGAATAAAATTCTCTATTCTCTTCCTCCTGTGCAAGTAGAATCCATTCTTATGTTTGCTTATGAATCCATTATTCTGTTCACATATATATTTCTTCTCATTTTTTCAATGTGCATTGACCTTTGTTGGCCTTTTGAATATGATAGTACATTTTATTGGCATTTGTAAGCATTGCAATAAATTAGACATTTTAAAAGTACAAAAGTACATATCTCTAAAAATAATTACTCAAGCTTTGGCTAAAAGAGATGAAGTCCCAAGAGAAACATCAATTTCTTTTGTTGGAGAAAAGGCAAACATTTTTATGAAAACAGTGCTCATTCTGCAGAGTGGTATATGGAGGAGTATACACGAGAGACAACACAAGTCCTTTTCTCATGCAGCTGAACTGAAAAACAAGACAAATATTTTGAACAGTTCATACGTCAAAAAGACATGTGCAGGCTTCACTTATTAAAATAATAGTGGTATCCTGGTGCACTGATGTGGTGCTTTCATCTTCAAAGCAATTTATGACTGTTCATGAATTGACTTGGGACAAAAGATCAGAAATTGGCGGGAGGTCCTGGGTCTGTGATTTTGGGAAGAATGAATGAGACAGAGATCAAAGACATCTCCCAGCCCCCATGCTTTGTTAGTGGGTCGCTTTGGAGCCTGAAAGAAAGCCTGTGATTCTTCCGGACAGTGGAAGCCTGCAATTCAATGGCAGAGGGAAAAGGGTGCACTGGTTTTCACCCAATTCCATTCCTCTCGCCTTTTCTGGTTATGGTCCTAGAACCAGAGGGGGCTAGGAGTCCCAAGGACCACTTCATATTCAAACAAGAAAAGAAATTTCCAGATCCTATCATGGCCTCTGCAGCATTCCAGTCTCCTTTGGCCAAAATGGCCCCACCATCTGATAATGGCCTAGGCACTCTGCTGCCATGGATAGTATCATTTAATCCACATGACTATTCTCTGAGGTAAGCACTCTTTTTTCCCCCATTTTGTAGGTGGAAACAGTGGAATACAGTGTGGTTGAGTCATTATCACAAAGTCGATAGCCACAGACAGAAGAGTCGAGATGCATATTCAGCAAGATGCATATTCAGCAAGATGCATATTCAGGTAAGCAGCCTCCAGATTTCACGATGCCAAACATGTACCATGCTGCTTCCATCTGTCAAGGGAAATTCGAGTTTTAAAAACTTGTTCATTCACACACAATAAACTTCTGTAAGACTCTCTGCCTATAGGATTGTGTTCAACTGTTACACCATCCAATGGGTATTTGAACATGTTGACCAAAAGGACAAACAAGTCTAAACTCTTTTGGATAACTATATACCTAGGAACACAGGGGGCTGGACAGCAGACTTTTGATCTCAACATGACAGACCAGGAAATGACAAGCAGAAAGCTTTTAACTGGACTATGACAAAATGTGTTTTTGTAGTCACTGTGACTCTTGACCCAGATGTCTGCTTCCCCATCCTGGGCAGGACTGCTTGTTTGGTTCCCCTTCAGGGCAGTTGCTTTGCCTGGATTTTGTATCTCCTTTTGCACACAGCTGTCCACTTCCCACACCTCTCTCCAGGATAAAGGACACTCTCTTGGTCACCTCTACCTTCTGGTGACTCTTTCCTTTCTATAAAGGAACCTAAGCCTGAATCTGATTCCTTAGGTAAGGGAACTGATTACATCGGGCACATTCATGCCTCAATTTATTTCTTGCTCCTTGCCCAAGTATCTACAGAGTACCCACTCTGTGGGAGAGTCTTTGCTAGGCGCTGGGGACATAACTTGAATAAGGCAGGCACTGTCGCTTCACTTGTGGAGCTGATGGTCTGATGACAGATGACTGAAAAATAATTCATTAACTGAAATGAGAGGAATGAAGATCCAGAGAGCTGAGTGAACAGATGATAGTGGCTTCTGACCACATCTGAGGGTCAGGAAAGGTTCTCTTGAGAAAGGGACAGTGAAACTGGAGACAGAGAGATTAGTCAAGCGTGAAGAGGGCTGAAGGAGAAATTTCAGGGTGAGGGAGGTGGTGTGGGAAGCCTGAGGTGACAATTAAGTCAGGAAGTTGGGAAAGGCCAACGTGATTTGAGACCAGAGAGTGAGGGGCAGTGGTAGGGAAGGAAGGTAGGCAGGGCCAGGCCCTGTAGGGTCCTGTGGGTTAAAGGCCCATTTGAGATTTAATCCTAAAAGCAACATGAAGTCATTGAAAGGTTTTAAGCAGAGGGATGATGAGATTCAAAGTGTCTGTTTAAAAGATCATTCAGGATTTAGTGTAGAAAATTAACTGGACAGGGCAGGAGTAGAGGAAATGGAGGAAGGGATGCCCAGTTAAGACTCCATCATAATCATCCAGGTGAGGGATGATGGGCCTGGATTAGAGGTGGGATTGGAGATGGAGTGGACTGGATAGGTGTTAGTTTATGCAGGCCAAAGAGAAGGTCTTTGAATACATGCAGTCAACAACAAGGCTCTATAAATGTTAGCTACCATTATTGTTAATGGTCCTTGCATTTGGGTTGGAAATACAAAGATAAACTCTCTCTCTCTCTCTCTCTCTCTCTCTCTCTCTATATATATATATATATATATATATATATATATATATATATTTTTTTTTCTGTAAAGAGAAACAGAACTCTAGATCAAATTTGGAAAACCACAACTTGGCTTGTGGGCTTAAGCTGGCCCTGTGCTTGATTTTGTAAGTAAATTTTTATTGGAACACAACCATGCTATTTGTTTCCATATTGTCTGTGGCTGCCTTTGATAGTGAGTTGAGTAGTTGTAACAGAGGTCTTATGGCCTGCAAAGACTGAAATACTTGCATTTAGCTTTTTACAGAAAAATGTGCTGACCTCTGCTCCAGATCAGTACATTTTCTAATGATGACAATTAAATTTCTTTTTCCCTGGCCTTACTGATCCCAAGACCAGAGCTCCTCCTTGCCTTCTGTCCAAAGGGTAAAGGAAGTTTTCCTTCTTCTTAGCTAAAGAGAAAGCTATGGCTACATACATGCAACTAGCTATAATTCTATGTATTCTTGTCTTACAGAATAAACAAGAATAAAGCAGGAAAACCACTGATGTTGGTGTTTTATTTTAGATTAGCATTCAGAGTCAGTATGCTTAGGATATTTTGATCAGATCCCACCAAAGTCAGAGCTGCTGGTAGTACTTAAAGGGGATGCTGTCATATGGTTTCTCTCAAAAGCCTGACTTCCAGAGGAAGAGAGCAGCAGCACCCCTATGTCCATGTATCTTAGTTCCTAATAACAGGCAGGATAAATATCTCATTTCTTAAAAAAAAAAAAAAAAGTGGAGGGATTGCAGCTCCCTGCAATATACAAGTGCTTATGTTCTACAAGTAAGAGACAAACACAGAGCTATTTTATTTGATTTTTCAAGAGGTAACATCCATCAACACAGATAGACAATAGAACAATTTGAGGGATGGAATCCTCAGAATTATGTGACCATATAAAAAATAGAGAAGTTACTCGTCAGAAGAATAGAATTTAGAGTGGACTGACTTAACCACTCCCTGGATGCATAAATCTGACCCATTTCAAAATTTCTCCAAAACAATAGTTTCTTCATTTATAAAATGAGATTAATAATAAGATTAACCTCATAGGGTTGAATTCATCCAACTAATATTTGTTGAGCACCTATTAGGTATTAGAATCCATCCTTGTTTTGGAGAATATGAATATGACCCAGTAAGAGTAAATCAGACAGCAACCACTCTAATGGAGAAGGCATAAAAAGTGCCCATCAAACTCAAAGCACTCCGCAAATCTAAGGTGTGTGGTCTAAAGTAGATTACTCATCCCACCAACCATTACCCTAGACTTCCTATGTAACTTGGAGACTTGGGGATGTGGCCATATAAAAATTATGCACAAACTCCAAGCTGGATTAGGGTAAGGAGAAAGAGAGGCCCTGGTCCCATATGTAAATTTTAAAAGGGCACCAAAAAACTCCAATTAAGATAAATAAAATATTAAACTTATGCTGAAGAATCCACAGTGGACAAAACACCAGCATTTTAAATGAAAACAGGCTCTGTATGACTGAAGTTTTTGACATTCACCAGAATATAAACCAAAGAACTCCCGGTTGTTGTTGGCAGGGCCAAGGAAAGAGGAAACAAATAATTAAAATGGCGCCACATCAAGGTCTACATTCACAGACTCGGAGGTCTGTGGCCATGGCGGGGTGGATTCTCGGACCTCACAAGTAAAGCCCAAACAAACCCCAAATCTGGGTTTTCTAAAGCAACAGACCCTTTTCCTGTCAGGTCCAGGGCCTTGGATAGACCTCTCCATCACTTCCAAAACACACAGACACATGGAGTGTAATTATTTGTGTTTGACAGTAATGGAAACTCACCCTTTTGAGACAGTTAAAACAACAGAAGTTAAAATGATTTGTACCACAACAAGGATATACAAAGTATTTATGTAGAAGATTGAACAAATAAATTACTGTGTATGTCAGGGTAAGTGTGTGTCGATGTGTATAGGTGTTAGTGTGAGTGTCAGTGTGCCAGCGTCAATGTATGTTAGTGTGTATGTGTGTCTGTGTGTGTCCATGTATGTGTATGACAAGTTTGTATGTGTGTTTTGGTGTCAGATATGCATGTCAGTGTACATTTATATCAGTGTGTGTTAGTGTGTTGTGTATCTGGGTGAACGAGTGTGTCAGTGTGTTTGCATATGTCAGTGTGAACATGCATGTCTGTGTGTATGAATGTTTGTGTATGTGTATGAATGTTTGTGTGTGTGTGTGTGTGTGATTAAAACCCTCCCAGCCACACTGCGATTCCTGATGAAATCGTCTGGACTCAGCATTAATGTGGTGCAGATGTGGTGACTCTCAGAGTGCCTGAGCTGCTCTGGGCAGCTCCCGATGCCTGATGACACTGAGCAGCCTCCATATTGTTGTTGGCATTACTAACACAGCAGACGTTGCTCAGCTTCATATTTAACTCACCCTGCAGGCCCAATTCATTAAAAGGAGATTTATGGGTGTTCCAGTGTTTTATTATAGATCTTGTTTCCAGGAGCAGAGCCTTCTGTGTGGCAGGCAGGAAGAAGGGGTGTTCAATTCATCAAGTCCAAGTTGAGCTACATGACAAGGAAGAATCAAGCAGGTTAGGATGTGGATGGAAGGAGGACTTGGCTCCTCAGTTTTATCTGGGATTGAAAAATACACCTTAGAAATCAATATAGTGAACTGAAAATTATTTATCTTGGTAAATATTAACCTGTTACCACTCATGGCCCACCAGACTAGAAGCTTTGAAAGACAAGATCTCTGCCTTCAAGGAACTTAAAGCATATTGCCTGGTTATAAAACAATGACATCACCTTGAGGAATAGTTTGTGGGGTTCGTTTTACGAATTGACATCACCCCTTCTACTCACATTGTCATCAATAGATAGTGCTCAAAGTGAAAGGAACATCGGTTTGGTTTTTACCAGAAGACATTTCTGGAACCTTAGGCCAAGGCTTCTCAAAGTGCATCTTCTAGCCAGCAGGAGCACTGTCACCTGGGAGCTTGTGAGAAATGAAAATTCTCAGGCCCTAGACCAGACCTCCTGAATTGGAAACTCTGAGAGTGGGGTTCAGGAATATGGGTTTTTACAAACCCTCCAGGTGATTCTAAAACACTCAAATTTAAATTGTGTTCTATATGTGTAATAAGAAATGTGATGCATTCTGCTGTCATGTATTTAAAAAAATAAAAGCAATTAAAAAAATAAATAAAACACTCAAATTTGAGAACTTTGGTCAGAAGAGATCTCTTCATTTCTTTGGTCTTATTTCCTTCCACTTACCACCCCTCAAATAATAAAAATCATTATCACAGTCACCCCACTAAGAAATGGGGTTCCAATAAATTAATCAAGGCACTTAACAGGTAATAAAGGACAATAGCAAGTTATTATGTAATAACATGTAATTATCACCAGCACAAAACATAAAACATCTCCAAAGGAGATCAGGCACTCCCAGTAATAATTTTCTAGGGTGCTGATTTCAGAAATGGTCTCCATCATGAAAAACAGCCAAGAAGTGCCTTCCATACATGACCATATTTTATTGTTATTTGCTCTTTTCAGATATACATGACAGTAGAGTGTATTTTGACATATTATACATGCATGGAGTATAACTTATTCTAATTAGGATCCCAGTCTTGTGATTGTACTGGTACTGGTCGTGTATTCATATATGAACATAGGAGAGTTATGTCTGATTTTTTTTTTTTTGCTATCTTTCCTGTTCCCATCTCCCATCCCTTCCCTTCATTCCCCTTTGTCTAATCCATTTAAATTCTGTTCTTCCTCCCCCACCCTTGTTGTGTGTTAGTATCTGCATTTCAGAAAGGGCATTCAACCTTTGATTTTCTGGGATTAACTTATTTCAGTTAGCATGATGATCTTCAGATCCATCCATTTACTGGCAAAAGTCATTATTTTTTATGGCTGAGTGATGTTTCATTGTGCATATATAACATATTTTCTTTATTCATCTGTTAAAGGGCACCTAGGTTGGTTCCATAGCTTAGCTATGTGAATTGAGCTGCTATGAATATTGATGTGACTGCATCACTGTATCATGCTGATTTTAAATCCTTTTAGGTATATACCAAGGAGTGGGATGACTGGGTCAAATAGTGCTTCCATTCCAAGTTTGCTGAAGAATCTCCACACTGCTTTCCAGAGTGGTTGCACCAATTTGCAGTCCCATGAGCAGTGTATTAGGGTACATTTTCCCCCACATCCTCACCCATACTTATTGTTACTCGTAGTCTTGATAATTGCCATTCTGACTGGAGAGAGATGGAATCTCAGTAAAGTTTTAATTTGCATTTCTCTAGTTGCTAGAGTTGTTGGACATTTTTTCATATAATTTGTTGACCATTTTTATTTCTTTTTCTGTGAAGTGCCTGTTCAGTTCCTTTACCCATTTCTTGATTGGGTTATTTGGGGGTTTTTGGTGTTAAGTTTTTTGAGTTCTTTATATATCCTGGAGATTAATGCTGTGTCTCAGGTGTGTGTGGTAAAATTTTTTTTCCCATTCTGAAGGCTTTCTCTTCACGTTATTGATTGTTTACTGTGAAGAAGTTTTTTAGTTTGATATCATCCCATTTATTGATTCTTGATTTTACTTCTTGTGCTTTAGGAGTCTTGTTGTGGAAGTCAGTTCCTAAACTGACATGATGGAGTGTTGAGCCTACATTTCCTTCTAGTAGGTCTCTGGTCTAATGCCTAGGTCGTTGGTCCACTTTGAGTTTTGTGTAGGGTGTGATATAGGGATTAAGTTCCATTCTGCTACATGTGGATTTCCATTTTTCCCAGCACGATTTGTTTAAGAGGCGATCTTTTCTCCAATGTATGTTTATGGAGTCTTTGTCTAGTATGAGATAACTGTATTTATGTGGGTTTGTCTTTGTGTTTGAAATTCTGTTCCATTGGTCTTCATGTAAGACCATGTTTCAAATGCCCACATCATGATAAATCTCCTCTGTTTTAGGTAATTTTCCATTGCTACAAGAAAATATCTGATCACAGAGGGATCACATGGCAAGATAGAAAGCCAGAGAGCAGTGAAGAATCTACTTGCTCTTCTATAACAACTTGCTCTGGTGAGAATGAACTGGGGTCCCAGGAGACCTACTTAATTCTTCTAAGAGCAGTTCCCCCAAAGACCTACCCACCTTCCACTAGGCTCCACCTCTTAAAGGTCCCACAAACTCTCACATCATCACACTGGAGACCAAGTTTCCAACACCTGAAATTTTGGGGGACCAACACCTTCATATCACAGCACCACCACGCATTCACTGGGTGGGCATCTTCAGAGCCTTTAGTGAAAGGGAGTTTAGAGCACGTTACTCTAGGATACACAGACTGGAACCTTTTACCTCAAGAATTTTTAAGGAGGAAGTGAAAATAAACCCAGGAGATAAACATTCAAGAGAGCTCAGAAAGTTACCCCATTACTCTAGAGACAAATTAAATATATATGGCTGTGAATAGAAAACAGAAACTTCCTTTGTACAGGACTTTTATATAAAAGTTTCATATATAAAAGTTTGCATAGTTGAGATGAAACCAACTCCACCATTATAAATCAAAAGGCTAAATGCTCAGATAGTGAGCTATCCAAAATAGACACTTTTGGATGGGAATTCCCAGACTTATCAAATAAACAAACCTCTTTGTAATATCAACTTCTCACATAACAATATGTTTACATTTTTATTGTGGCAAAATAAATGTAATGTAAATGTAATTTTTATTATTTTAAGTGTACAATTCTGTGTCACTGAATATATTCACCTTGTTGTGCAACCATCACCACCATCTAACTCTAAAGCTTTGTCACATTCCCACACTGAAATCTGTGCTCATTGAATAATAACTCCATCACCCTCTCCCCCAGACCCTGGAGAACACCATTTTGCTTTCTGTATGTATAAATTCAACAGTCTAGAAATATCACATAAGAAGAATCATATACTACTTGTTCTTTTGTGATGGCTTATTTCACTTAGCCTAAGATCTTCAAGGTTCACCAATGTTGTAGCAAATGCCATAATTTCCTCCCTTTTTAGGGTTGAAAAGTATGCTGTGGTATGTGTTTGCCACATTCTGTTTATTCATTCATCTGCCTATGGAAATTATTTATACTTTTGGCCTCTTATTTGCTATCTACCTCAAAATATGGAGAATAAAGAAAGCTGTCTATAAAAGCAGTGTTCATAATGTAATATATGATCAGTCAATAAACATTAGCTTATTTAGTACCCCTTGAGTAAGAAAAGACATGTTCACACAGAGATGTGCAGCCTCCTGGCCTAACTGCTAGTTGCTATGTGGGAAATCATTACTCTAGTTCTTAGTCAACAAGTGACCCCATCAGAAATATCATTGCTCATTCCCAGCTTGAAAAAGGGAGGGAGAATGTGACCTAAATGTTAGTTCATAGAAAAACAAATATGATCAGAGAAATGTGTTAGTAATGTTAACTCTAAGTTAACAAGCTCCCTGATGACAGCATTTTGGGGCAGCTGAGAAAATGTACACTTAATTGGCAAGGTTTATAGGCATGCACGCAGAGCCCCTGTCCACTAATCGCAAGGACACAGATATTTGGTCTTATGTTGATGACTCTGTTCTCAAACTAATGGTCTGCTTATTTAAGCAATAGCTACTCTCTTTGTGAACAGTATAAGAATGCTTTTAGTATAACAAATGTTCAGTATTAAATTTGAGAAGCAAACAATCTGCCGTTTTGTTTTTTCTTTTGTTCCAAAGTCCATTTTATTGGGATCCTAACAAGAAGTTAAGGGTGTGTGTGTGTGTGTGTGTGTGTGTTTCAACTAAAAGAGAAGTAACAAGGTAACAAGGATGGACTCTCAGTGGATATTAACTAGAATGTATGTATCAATTAATGAACAGTGAGCATCATTATGGGTTGGTCTGAAATATTGAGCTTTATGAAACCTCCTAGTTACCTCACTTCATAGAAAAAGAGGCAGAAAAGAGAATCACTGAGTGGTCCTCTGGGCTCCCAGGCTACACCCAGCCCACCCATTCTCTCAAACACCAGTTTCTTTACCCTTTGGCTCAGGTTGTAGAGTGAATCAGATGCAGGTGTGGAGTTCGTCAGGGTCTGCTTACTAAGCAGAATGAAGACAGAAGAAAAGTTCAACTCCACATGTGTTCAGGAAGAAAATGTCTCCCTAGGGAAGAGAGAAAGCCCTGGCCAGAGTTGTGTAGGCAGAGCTTTGTTAGGAGGAATATTTCATAAATATGAGCTAGAGAGGCAGCAAGAGGGTGATTAACATAATATTAACATCTCATTAGCAGCCCAAGGGAACAGGCAGAGAGAGAGGTGAATCTCTTTGCATGACTGGCAGGATCCCCAAAAGAACATATTCTTTTCTATTATTCTCTGTGCATCTAAGTTATATTTTATTAATAAATAACTAGACAAATGTAGACCTCTCAGGTGCTTTATTCATGGCATCTGGGCCAGGCAGGTGAAACTATTAAGAGTTATCTCCCAATTGGGATTCTTTCAAGCACATAATTCACACAATGCTCACAAA